TTTGTTTGTTTGTTTGTTTGTTTGTTTTGAAACTTATCCAAGTTTCCCTTCTCATTTCTAAAGCTTTATTTGAGCTCTCTGCTGCTTCATCTCATAATAGTGACAATGGCAGTGTTGTTACCTGGCATTTGCTGAGCACTTAGCATGTGCTAGATGCTTTACAAACAAAATTTATTTAATCGTCACAACAGCCCCAAAAGATCAGTACTATTGTTTTATCTATTTTGCAAATAGAAAAAAATAAGGCTCAGAAAGGGTAAGTAGCTTGCACCAGGTAATGAACGCTCTTTAAACCAGGATCTAACCCTGAGTCTGACTCCAGAATCCCCACACTCACACCCTCAAGCGATACTTAATTTCTGACTCAGACATCACCCTGTGGGAATATTTTTGCTTTCTTTTACCACTTTAAAAACCCTGAGGTTTTTAAGGACATAAACTGTTTTAAACCTTGACAAAGTTTCCTCATCTGCAAAAGTGGGGTGGTAGCCTTGTAATAAAATGAGGACATACCAGCGAAAGCAATTCTTTCCTTATTTAGGATCATAGAAGCGGTAGGGATCAGTCATATTAGTTATACTGAAAAAAGCAAATACTGAAGCATATTTTTCAGTTCCACAGAAAGAAGAAGCATAAGAATAAGTAAAAGCCAGAAGCAATGATTCCTAGGCTACTATCGTGTTCACATGCAAAGAATTGATCATTATTTCATAAAAACCTATTACAGGCGAGGAATTCCTTCTTCCTAAAAATAATATTATGTATATCCCTTGCAGGCACTCACCACAATTCATGTGATAACTTTGGTGACTGTTTATGTAATGTCTACTTCCTGTACTATTCTGTAAGCATTGTGAGCTCAGGGACTCCTTTTCCTTTGTCCAGTTTCTAGCACAGTGCCTGGGCCATAGTAAATGCTCAGTAAGTATTTGTTGAATTGATTCAATAGAGTCACAAAATTCTCATGGACTCAACCTGGCTCAGCTCTAGAGCAAGGTGGCAATCTGTGTGTGTCATCTGAAGACAGAAGTCGAGAGCCTCTCCCATTGAGAAGCTGAAAAATATACCAGACTAGATTCTTTAGTTGTCACCTGGAAGGCAGAGAGAGCATGATCCTAAAGGTATTGGACAAAGGGACAGCAAAGTGTCCCAAGGCAAAAACCTGAAGGCCGGGCCAAGATTTGCAGCATCTACTTGCCCTCCCCCACTATCTCCCACCTCTAAACGCTAGAGGAATTCAAATAGGAGGAATTAAAATCAGTTAAAAGCAGCATGGGATAGTAAAAAACACCTTAAATTGAGGAGTCAGTGATCTGAGCTAACAGCAGTGAAACCAAGAGATGTAATCAGTCTGGATCTCTGTAACAGGCAGCAATCCTACCTGATGAAAAATGAGACCATTGTCAGTCATACAACTCCATGGGATTTCACTTTATAGCCATCCACACCTGTTTATCTGGGGTGAAAATTGTTGGCTGGGCAGATAGAATACATACAGCATACTTAAGAATATGCACTCTGGATCAAGAGCTGGCAAACAA